TCTATCCCATATTTGTTCTCCTGTGATATTACTTTGCTTAGTTACTGTCTCCATTTATTCTGTTACATAAGCCAGGAAACTGGAGGTTACGTCTAGATAATTTCCACTTGTTTTACCCTTATATCTTAATCTCTGTCATTGTTCACCGGAGGTCTACTGTCTGTCATTTTGATTCCAATTTTTTTCTTAATATGAAGGGGCATCAAAAAATTTATGGAAAAATTCCATTATCTTTCAATTCCACTTTCCCACCAATGTCTTAGATCCCCCTCATAGGCTTTGTTATTATTTTTAATAGCAGTTCTAGGATTACAGAACAAGTGCACAAAAAGAACAGAGGTGGCCCCTGGGTCCTCTCCCCTCTGTGCATGGTTCCCTCTATTGTAATCCTTTCGTGTCCCTGTGGTTTATGGGTCAAAGGGTGACCCGATATCTAGACATCCTTATGAGCTAAAGTCCATAGTTCACATTAGGACTCAGCATTGGCATTGGGCAGGCTTGTGAGCCTTGACAAATGTCCCGGGTCCTGTGTCCACCATTGGAGCATCACACTGAATGTGCTCCTGGTCAGTTGTGGTGACATCAGTGATAGGTGCCCTTGTGATGTTGTCCAAGTTAAGGAGCCAGAGGCTCACTGATCGGCCAGCCCACCTGGGTCTTCCTGACACAGTCACTGTGGGCGCCCCCCAGGAATCCTCACGGAATCCTGGCTCTCCATTTTCTCCTCTGTAACGTGTGGGGAGTATCCTGGGTGATACTCAGCACTCCTTGGCTGGAGACGCCTTCTTTCACTAAGGTTCTTGATTGTGGTGACTGTTGGTGCGAGGGCAGAGTCTCCCCTCCCTTCTCCTCTCACTCCGGTTCTCTGACCCCATGATGCCACAGAAGTTGGGGTCAATGATGCCCAGACTCGTCTTCCCACCAAGCTGGCTGGCTCCTGGCAGCATCCATTCTGTAAGGTTATACCTGTGAAGAGAAAGGACAAGGAAGTATTCAAAAGAGAAATTGATTCCGTGGTAATAATTCCAGCTTATATCCACTATGGAATGACAACAGTTGCGTTCTAACTTTCGCCCAAATGCTTCTAGAACTTTCCTTCTTCCTTAAAGACAGATGTCATCATAGGATACCAAGGCCCAAACCTGCAGGGCCACCAAGTCAATTCCAACTCACAGCGACCCCACATAAGGTTTCTGACATTATCTGTTTTTTTAAAGATAGACTCATCTTCTCCCGAGGAGCATCTGGTGTGATTGAACCTCCAGCCTTTTTGGTCAGCAGCCCCATGCCTAACCCACAGCATCACTAAGCTCCCCAGCATTAGGATGGGCTGTGTAAACTCTCGGTGAGCAAAGTGTAAGTTTAATTTTCTTTCTTTCTCTTTTAATTATTTTATTAGGGGCTCATACAACTCTTATCACAATCCATACATACATCAATTGTGTCAAGCACATTTGTACATATGTTGCTATCATCATTCTCAAAACACCTGCTTTCTACTTGAGTCCTTGGTATCAGCTCCTCATAATTTTCTCCTCCCTCCCCACTCACCTCTTCCCCCTAAAACCTTGATAATTTATAAATTATTATTATTTTGTCATATCTTACACCGTCTGATGTCTCCCTCCCCCACTTCTCCGCTGTCCGTCCCCCAGGGAGGAGGTTATATGTAGACCTTGTCATCTGTTCCCCCTTTCTCCCTCACCTTCCCTCCACCCTCCCGATATCGCCACTCTAACCACTGGTCTTGAGGGGTTCATCTATCCAGGATTCCCTGTATTTCTGCACTCCCCCTCATTCACAATACTATGCTTTTTTTCTTTTTTTGGGTCTTTGATGCCTGATACCTGATTCCTTCGACGCCTTGTGATCTCACAGGCTGGTGTGCTTCTTCCATGTGGGCTTTGTTGTTTCTCCGTTAGATGGCCCCTTGTTTATCTTCCAGCCTATAGGACCCCAGATTCTATATATATTGACAGCCAGGCACTGTCAGCTTTTTTCACCATTTTTGCCTATGCACCCGCTTTGTCTTCAATGTTCGTGTTGGGGTAGGCTGGAGTGCTTCTTCCTTGTGGGCTTTGTTGTTTTTCAGCTAGATGGCTGCCTGTTTGTCTTCAAGCCTTTAAGACTCCACATGCTGTATCATTTGATAGCTGGGCACCATCAGCTTTCTTCCCCACTTTTGCTTATGCACCCACTTTGTCCTCAGTGATCGAGTCAGGATAGGCTGGTGTGCTTCTTCCATGTGGGTTTTGTTGCCTCTCAGTTAGATGGCTGCTTGTGTATCTTCAGGTCTTTAAGACTTCAGGTGCTATATCTTTTGGTAGCCGGGCACCATCAGCTTTCTCCAACATATTTGCTTGTGCACCCATTGTCTTCAGCAATCGTGCCAGGAAGGTGAGCATCTCAGACTGCCCAATTGTTAGAACAAAGTGTTTTTGTGTTGAGGGAGTACTTGTGCAGGGGCCCACTGTCCATCTATTTTCTTATTACTCAACCTATAAATATATGTACATAGATCTGTTTCCCCCTCGTCGTGTATAAATATATTTATATCTTTATATGCCTGTATTTAAATCTTTATGACTACCCTTTGCCTCCTAGTTCCTTCCTCTATTTCTGTGTACTTTCCTCTTGTCCCACTATCATGCTCTGCCTTCATTTGGGTTTTAGGAGTTCCTCTCGGGTTACATTGCCCTTGATCCAGCCCTGCCAGACCTCCCACATCCTCCTTGCCACTGATTTTGGATCACTTGTTGTTCCCTTGTCCCTGGGCTTGTTAACGCCCACTTCCTTTCTCCCGCCTTCCCTCCCCTCATGTTCCCCTGGAACTGTCATCCCGTTGTTCTCTCTTCTGGCCTGTTTATTCCACCTATCCCTTCCAGGTAGACATGCTATGTACCATCACAAGACTGAGTATAACAAAGCACCAACAGAAAGTAAAACAATAGCTACAACAACACACACACACACAAATGTATAAATAGTTCAGGGTCTTTTGGCCTTCACGGGTGCTTTCCACTCGAGTCGGATGGGGTGCCATGCCCTGGCACTGCCTGTATTCCTGGGGACTTCATTGCTCTGCTCCCCCCGCTGCTCTGCTGCATGTCCCAGTGGCTGACTTCAGCATAGTGAGCTCATGGAGGGCACAATTCCCGCCGTGTGTCTCTAGTGTTGTCCCCAATGGTGCTATGAGTCAATGAGGAATGCCATGTCCCATGGTGAGGCCGGCCCTGTGGTCATCTCTGTGCATTGCTGTTCTGAGCAGGAACATTGTCCTTAGGGCTTGGTGAGCCAAGATGCACTTCACTCTTTTTTTTTTTTCCTTTTCCCCCCTCGTTGGTTCCTGGGTGCTCTCACCAGACCAGTCCCTCTTCTTGAGTTGTAGCTTCAGTGCTGTCCTCTGAAGTGAGTTCTTCTTGGGGGGAGGGTGGTATTGTCCACTAAGTTGGTAATAGGGCCGGCCCCTCCGGCCTAAGTTTAATTTAAAAAGAAACTCTTCAGGATTCAGGATGTCATGGGCTGATGTTTCTGCGGAGAAAAAAAAGACAGAGATTCCTTAGGAAAAATAGAACTAAGAACACCAAGACGCAAATACAAGGTCCATTGTCAAATGGTCAGTATCGGCAGGATGGCAGGGGCGGTAGAATCCTTGTCTTCATGTGGGAGACCCACCCTCGATTCCCACCCGCCTGCCGGGGTGAATCTTGTGCTGCTCAAAGGCTGAGCAGGTCCCCTTGGAGCTCCCAGACTCAGCTGGGCTCGGGAACAGGCCTTGCCAGTGAAAGCCCTGGCATGGCACAGGGCCAGGCAGTGTTTCGTTCGGCTCTTGTCGTGGGGTTGCCTCCCATGATTCAGGAGCTAACTGGACAGCCACAGCATCAACAGACAGAAAAGGACTGTAGAATTTCGAGGAAAGCTTCCAAACACTGTTCTGAACTTCTGTATATGCTGATTTATTTCTTTGGGGGACTGGTAATGACCAAGTTTATACCCATATCCGGGGTGACACACCGGGCAGGACACTACCTGATCTTGGGTAAATGTTGACTTGGTAATCAAACTGGGATTTTTGTGAACTTGGACTAACAAAATATTTGTATACGTCTTCTTTGCCAACCTCTACATTTAGCCTGGTGGAATGATGGTTACTTGTTGAGCTGCTAACCACAGGTCATCAGTTCGAAGCCATTAGCTGCTCTGCAGGGGACAGATGCGACTTTCTACTGCTTAAAGAGTCGCATTCTTGGAAACCCCAGTGTGACATTCTACCTTGTCCTATCGGGTTGCTCTAGGGACATCCCGAGTGGATGGCACTGCATCGTTGTTTTGTTGTTGTTTAGAAGGTTATGTGCTGTTGGGTTGATTTTGCCTTATGGGTCCCCATGAAAGACACTGTCTCATAGGGTTTCCTAAATTTGAATCGTTATGGGACAGATTGCTAGGAAGTCCTGCTCGGCTCAAACTACTTGCTGGATTGGCACTGCCAACCCTTCAGTTAGCAGGTAAGTGCTTACCCCTCCCCCCCCAAATGTATTGTTGTAGCAATTAATTGTATTTCACGGTAATGGCTTCCTTTGTGATCTCAGATATTTTATTTCTCAAATTTGTAAATGTTATTCTAAAAGGAGGGTCCCATCAGAGACATCAGACTACCAAAAGGTTTCCAGAGCACAATCAGGCTGAAAGATAGCTTTTCCAGTGACAGTAACAGAAGAAAACAGTTTGGACAACTTTCTCCAACAACAAACCGCCAGGCTATGAGATGACGGATCAGAGGAGAGGGGGCTCCCCTGGGGGTCCTGGGTGGTGATTCTGTTTCCCATCATACCAGGGCCCGGGGGCAAGGGGAGTCATAGGTTACTTCCTGTAATGAGATCTTGGAGATTTTCTGCCCAGGAAAGACCTTGATTATTAATTAACCAGCAGATCTGGCTCTGAGGATTACAGCTGACTGTCATTGGCAGAAGCTGTTTCCTGCCTGTTAGTTGGCTCATAAATTAGCCTTGTGCCTCTCATGGTTTTGCTGGGCCATCTTTCAGAGGGTGAGGAGCAGTGGCCAGGTGTTGGACAAGGTAGGTTCCTGAGCTCTGGCGGGTCCCTCTAGGGTGCGCTGTGTGTGTGTGTATCTGTGCTGATCTCTTTTATTCTGAATGCTCTTGCAATGCCTTCCACTCAGACAAGTGGGCACAGCATCTACAGCAAACGAGAGACAATTGCACCGTGACACATGCAGCACCAACCCCAGACCACCTGCCTTTGCTGAGGTTGGTGGGCGCAGTGAACTCCTCCAGACCCAGGCTGTGTCCATGCCCCCGTTGAGCTGACCCTGGGTGTTTGTGGTTGACTCTGTGCCTGCTGGCCTGAGGAGAGATTGAAAACCGGGTGCTGGAAAGGGGCAGAGATCGTTTCAGATGCAGGAGAGGAAGTGGGGAAGGAGAGGCAGAACTGAGGGCTTGGGGGTGGGGTAGATTAGGACAAGACTTCCTCAGGGAGGAGGAGTTGAGGAGTGGCGCCGCAGGCAGGAAACAGAGGGACTCTTGCTTCTCTGGTGGGTTGGGTGTCTCTATTGACCAAGGAAAGACCCAGATTTGGGAAGACTCTGAAGTGTGCCTAGGGTCTGGTTTGTGTTTGCCTGTGTGGATGTTTCCAGACGTTTCCGGAGGGGTCTGGAAGGTGTCAGGAGACAGCAGCATCCAGATGGCACTGGATGGAGGGTGAGGTGGAGTGCAGTGCCAGGGCTCACTGGCCGTTCCCTCTCTAGGTTCTGGAAGGTGGTGAGTAGAACTGGTGGCACCGTCCGAAAGTCTGGCAGTAATGGAGTCAACTGGGATGGCATTGCTTTGTTATGGTTGGACATTTCCCTCGGGACATCTTCACTGTCTTCTTTGGGGACAGGGTTATGTAGTGTTCCTACCTCTGTTTCTGTTCGTTTGGGTAGGTAGTGTGTTTCTAGAAGATTCTAGCCCCCCCCCCCCATTTCTCTTGGTTTTCTAATTGTTAGACCACCTTCTCCCCGCCCTCACACTATTCTGTCACACTCTATCTCCACACCACTCTTACAATGTCTCCTCTCTGGAGTGTCCTTTTGCTATTCACGTCTTCCTCATTTTTTCTTTTGTCACATTGATCCTCTCAAAGAACCAGCTTCTAGGTGTGGTGGGTAGCCAGTCACACAGGTGCACTCCCTGCCAATCCCTGGGTAGGTGGGGCGGTGAGCAAGGGGTTTGTGGGTGAGTATGTGTGCTGGGTGACTGGCAGGGAAGGCATGCCCTCTGCTGATCACCAGATGGGCGGTGGGAAACAGCCAGCAATGTAGGGTGAGGGTGTATCCTGTGGTCTCGTACCAGGCAGGTGGAACGATTGGGGAGGGGAGAATTCGTGTTGCTAGTGACCAGGAAGCAGATGCGGAAGGGGGGCCACACTCCTCTTGTCACTGGACACGTCTTAGTGACCAAGTCAAGCTGTTAGAAACTGACCTCAGTGGAGCTGCCCGGAGTCCAGTCGGGGGAGAGCTTCTACAGGTCCTCAGGGAGTCTTTAACTCAGGTGCACCACCCCCTAACAGCCAGGGACAGCCTCTGATGAGGAGTCCTATCTCTGGATCCTGGTCCCCTCCTGTTCTGTGGACTTTAGGATCCCTGGACCTGTCACTGTCCTTCCTGCCCTCCCTTTCCTCAGCTCAAGTTCATGTCCTGCTCAACCAACTTTGTCCTGGCTGGTCCACACAGCTACTCTGTCTCCTTTGAGGGATCCTGGGTCCTTGTCTTGCGGTGTCCCTCACCCGGGATCAGTACTGGCCTTGGCTCAGCGTGGCTATGCTGTAGTGGGCTGGCTGTCAGGGTGCCTCAGCTCCACATTGCACCTGGTGCACTGTTTTTGTTCCGGTAATTTCGTTTGTGCTCAACACAATTCTTTATTCTTCAGGATTGTCACCTGTACCCGTTTCCCTTCGTTTCTCTGCTCTTTGCTGCAGGAAGAGAGCATGGCATATCTGACTAAACCACCATCTTGGGCCATCTCCTGGGGATAAGTCACTTTAAGAGTCTTCGCCAAATGCCCTTTGTGCAGCACGTTGCTTACAGTTTGACTAGCAATGTGTGGGTACTGTTTTCCTCACCATCTCTAGCCCAGTGTATAAAAAATTTACAATAATAATGATAAGAATAAAATGCTTCTGTAGAGAACCATCTTCCATCTCACAGGTATTAGCCACCACCGGAGACATATGGTCACGGTGGCAGATACTCTACAACTCTCTTGCCAGCAGACAAAAGATTATTCCTTTCCTGATTGGCTAATGGAGGAGTGGGATTCACCTCTGTGGAATTTTACCAGCAAGATGAGGATTGTGAGGTTCCTCCTAAAGCCGTTGGAAGTGAGGCGGGGTGGAGCCAGTCCAGGTGAAGATAGTCCGAGTTGGGGTGATGAAGTGTAGAAGAGGCAGGGCCATCTTTGCAGTGGAAGAGAAGTAGCTCTCGCAGCCGCGCTGCCTTCTGCATAGTCAGAGGCACTGGGCTGGCTAATCAGGTTGTCACTGATTGATGAGAAGTCCGTTGTTTTGTCACCTATTCCTCGGCCCACCACCTCAGCTGCTTTCCTCTGCCGAGGAGACAGGGGAGGTCATGGGAGAACACACCCGCATGGCAGGGTGTGTGACAGCAAGGCAGGGTCCCATGTCACGGCTAAACAGAGGACTTTAGCTCCTGTAGTTTGGGAGAATGAAGTCAGGAAGGCCGGGGGTGGGGGCGGATGGCAGGGGGAGAAGGGGTGGGAGGCCCTTTGTGGTTTGATGCTGAGCAGCCTGGGAGAGGCAGAGAGTGTAGGGAAACCGGGTTTGGAAGGACAAGCCTCCGGGGAACAATCTTCCGTTGCTTCCTGGCTTTCTGAACCTTTGGTCTGAGATTATGTGTGCATTCACCTGGTGTGTGGGGATCATAAAGCACTTTGCAGATAGGCTATCATATCAAAATGCATTTCCAATCATGTCGGCTGACCCTGTGCTGGCCTCTGCTGAGCGGAGAGTCAGTTGCGTCATGAAAATGTCCTTATAGCATTCTGGTTCTGAGTCAGGGCCTCTTGCGGTCCTCTCTGTGGCCAGCGGTGTTGTGAGCCGTTGGCGAGCCGTCCCTGACTCGCGGTGAGCCTGCGCTCGAAGGGACCCACGGCGGCCGAGCCCTGCGTCCTCCGGGTCATGCCCGTGATGGACTGACTGTGAGGTGGGCTGGGGGGGCTCCCAGGGCTTCCTTCGGCTGATTTTCAGCAGCACATCACTAAGCCTTCCTTTGGCCGACAGTAATGGAATGATCTAAATGCGCTGTCATTTACAACACGTTCTTGCCATTCTCACAAAATGGAGGGTGGCAGGAGGCCAGCGTGACAAAGATACTGTCGTCCCACTTGCCGTTGTTGGCAGCGTCCCGACCGCTCCTGACTCAGCACCAGGAGGAGACGCAGCCCTGACCGGCTGTCCTTGCAACCGTTACAAAGGTGGAGCCCACGGCTGCAGGCTCTGTGTCAACCCAGCTCCTGCAGTGTCAACCGCTTTTCCGCTGACGCTCTACTTTGCCAAGCACGACGGGCTTCTCCAGAGATTGGATAACCTGTCCAAAGTACATGAGATAAAGTCTTGCCACTCTCACTACTTCTCCTTTTTTAATTTAAATCATTTTATTGGGTGCTCATACAACTCTTATCACGATCTATATATACATCCGTTGTGTCAAGCGCATTTGTACATTTGTTGCCTTCATCATTCTCAAAACATTTGATTTCCACTTGAGCCCTTGGTATCAGCTCCTCATTTTTTCTCCTCCCTCATGAACCCTTGATAATTTATAAATTATTATTATTTGATTATATCTTACACTGTCCAACGTCTCTCTTCACCCACTTTTCTATTGTCCATCCTCCAGGGAGGAGGTATATCTAGATCCTTGTAATCGGTTCCCCTTTTCTAGCCCACCTTCCCTCTACCCTTCCAGTATTGCCACTTTCACCACCAGTCCTGAGGGGTTCATCTGTCCTGGATTCTCTGTTTCCACTTCCTATCTGCACCAATGTACATCCTCTGGTCTCGCCAGGTTTGTAAGATAGAATTGGGATCATGATAGTGGGGAGGAAGCATTTAATAACTAGAGGAAAGTTGTGTGTTTCATCATTGCTACACTGCACCCTGACTGACTTGTCTCCTCCCTGCTACCTTTCTACAAAGGGATGTCCAGTTGCTTACAGATGGGCCTTGGGTCCCCACCCCGCACTCCCCCTCATTCACGATGATATGTTCTTTGGTTCTTTGGTGCTTGATACCTGATCCGTTTGACACCTCGTGATCACACAGGCAGGTGTGCTTCTTCCATATGGGCTTTGTTGCTTCTGGGCTAGGTGGCCACTTGTTTACCTTCAAGCCTTTAAGACCCCAGACACTATATCTCTCGATAGCCAGGAACCATCAACCTTCTTCACCACACTTGCTTATGCACACATCTGTCTTCAGTATTTCTATGGGGAAGATGAGCATCGTGGAATGTCAGTTTAATAGAACAAAGTGTTCTTGTATTGAGGGAGGACTTGAGTGGAGGCCCAATGTCCATCTGCTACCTTAATACTAAACCTATAAATATATTCACATAGATCTATTTCCCCATCATCATATATAAATATATTTACATATATACATGCCTGTATTTAGGTCTCTATATATGCCCTTTGCATTCTAGTTCTTTCCTCTTTTTCCTTCTACTTTCCTCTTGTCCCACTATCATGCTCAGCCTTCATTTGGGTTTCAGTAATGCCTGCCAGTTACATTGCCTTTGATCACTCCCTACCAGGCCTCCCACCCACTCCTTGCCACTGGTTTTGAATCACTTGTTGTTCCCTTGTCCCTGGGTTGGTTAACACCACTTCCTTTCCCCCACCTTCCCCTCTCCCATGTCCCCCCAGAGCCATCAGTACCATTTTTTTTCTTCTCCACATTGTTTATCCCGCCTATCTTATCTAGAGAGACATGCAGAGATAATAATATGCACATAAAAACAAGACAGTGCCAAACAAAGTGACACAGAAGAACAAAATCA